GTGGTGATCTTGTTGTTTGCATAATTTATACAGGCCTAAATTTATTTATACTTACACTCTTATCAAGTTGTCTTCGACACCGTCAAACAGTGAGGCGTTTATTGATGTCAAATTGTTGTCGGTTAATATGCTTGAAAAGCAGGAAAGATAATATTTATTTGCTTTATTACATAGTTGCAAAAAGCCCGACATGATATCGGATAAAAGTCACATAAATACGACAACTAGCCTGCAAATAGGAATAACTTCTTATTGGAAATAGCATTAAGTTCATTTGATGCCATATTTTGACACAGTTCGTTTTATTATGGCCCCAAAATTTGGAATACCCTCCCTTTCGACCTCCGTACCTCTCCCTCAGTTGAAATTTTCAAGAAAAAACTAAAAACGTACCTCTTCAATAAGTAAATTGTAATTCTAATATTTTTGTTTTTTTATTATAATTACTCTTTTATACATGTACTATCTTGTGTTTACTATGTCATTTTTTCTGTAAAGCGCTTCGAGCAATTCGTTGGATGTTGCGCTATATAAAAGACAATTGTATGTATGTATGTATGTATTGGTATTTTACTTTCAATGACTGCGAGAGGGTTAATATTTACTATCTTACAATGTTATGCATGAGTTACCGCTTTGATTTCGTTATCCAAGTTCTGGTGTTTCAGTTGCATTTAATCAGATGAACTTAATGTACCTACGTCACAAAAGAGAATTATTTATAGTTTTCAAAGTAACCCAATAACCGCAATAACTTTAATTACACATTAACAACAGGATTGCCGATATCATATTGTCAGGGGTAGGAAACTCAACATTGGAAAAATATATACATATTTCAAAACAAGGTATATTCTTTCAAGCTATGCTCTACATAATGTCCCAAGTACCACAAATAAAATCAATCAATAGCTTTCATGTGCATTGTGTTACAAATTCAGAAGAATACGCATCGTGAGCATAAAATGATTCATGAATTATGTAGATTCTCAACATAATAAAGAAAAGAAGTGATTACATTCTTTCAATTGCTCTGCCCAAATCTTTAAACATCCCAGGTCGTAAGTCCGTGATGGTGTTATTGGCCATGTCTCTGCAAAAGAAAAAGTTGGAAATATCGAAATAGGGAGAAAAAAACATCAGTCGGACAAAGCAAGGAGATGGCAGGTTTGCATGTACACATTTTTTGTTGACCAATTCGTAAGGGGGCTTCGGAGATTTCATCAGGAACGTTTTGACACAAAGGCGCAAATATTGTGATTTAACTAGCATTGAGTTCTTTGAATATTAATGTGAACATGCCCTATGAAATGTGTCTTCAATAAGGTCTACAAAAAAAAAGATGTTGTATTACCCTTTAGGTGCCAAAACATGGGTCGGTCGGTCGGAAATCTTTTTTTTTTTTTACCTTTTTTTTCTTTCTTTTTTCTCAGTCTTTGGGCCGATTTTTCTCAGTTTTAAAATGCTTTAATATTTTTTTCTCAAAAAAACGTTTTTTTTTTTGTTTTTTTGTTTTTTTTTAAAGACGACCGTAGATTTCGATTTTTTTTGGATCGGTCGCAAAGGGCAATACAACATTTTTGTTTAAGGCCTTATCAATGTCATTACATAAACGTAACTCAAGTAAATTATCCGGCAACACCTGGTATTCGGTGTCGGTGTCTCTGTATACTGCAATATCATTATATCATTGATAACGAGTGAAAAAAAGGAGAGAACATGCTTTGCGTATGGACCTACATGAAGAAGAGACTATGTAAATCTTGAAAACAGCCATCTTCGTATTGAGTCACTTGGTTGATATCAATCCACCTGTCAAAAAGCAGACAAAAATACAAACATAATTATCAACGCTTTGCTTGAAATGGACGAGCTCTATAAGCTCAAAGGGTTGAACTAATATAACATTACTCTATGATGCAATATTCATACAAAGGGTAATGAAAATCAAACCAAAGATATATTTGTATTAGCTTAATTAAAAAAATTATATATAAGACATGCCAGTTCGTGCATGATCAAGATGGTGAAATTATGTTCAGCATTTACTACTGCGTTAAAATCGTCACTTTTGAGGATATTGCAGGAAATAAAACCAGACTCTCCTCCTTAGCAAACGGTCTCCGTAAAAGGCAGTACTGCATTAAATAGGATTAAACAGTTAACATCATCCATAAGAGGGGGGGGGGGGGTAGGACAACGGATTAAAGAGTACAAATACATATGCATTTCACTTACAGCAGGTAAAGGTAGAATAGATTTCGAAAAGTGCCTGTTTCCAGAACAGTTAGTTTGTTATCGGTGATGGATCTAGAAAGGGAAAACAGATAAATCACAACATTATATTTATCAGGAGCTATGTAGACATAGTTTAAATTCCGACTTGGGCTCGACATTAAAAATAAATAAATCTGTCACAAAATATAAAATGTGATAAAAATATATATCTTTAGCACCATTGAAGATTGAGCAAACTAAAAAAATCTCCTCGATTTGTGAA